TTCATAGATGGCATCGAGATCATTCAGAGGTCTCCCTTCTCCCCATCTCTGGCCAGCTGGATGCATCCCTGAACTGACTGCAGCCAACCTCCCCCTGCAGGTGAGCCTCTCTTCATAGATGGCATCGAGATCATTCAGAGGTCTCCCTTCTCCCCATCTCTGGCCAGCTGGACACATCCCTGAACTGACTGCAGCCAACCTCCCCCTGCAGGTGAGCCTCCATCACCAGTCCTGCCTCGTTTGAGCTTCTGCTTGCAAACCCCAGTGATGGGAAGCTCATTATACACATTCAGGTCCAACAGACCTTACCTCTCACCTGGGCCCTCAATCCCTGTGATTCCCCTTGGCGGGTGCAGCACTGCTCTTTGGGGATCTCCAAGCTCTATACCTTTTGGAAATTTGAAAATGCTGACAAGGTTCCCTGCCCAGGTTTCCTCATCCAGATTAAACATGCAGAATCAGAGAATATAAGGGGTGAAAAAAGAGGGTAAAGATTTTTGCCTAGCCAACTTCTTCCCACAGGGCCATTCCCCAGCTACAGATCCTGTACCCAGGTTCCCAGGACCCATCACAGTTCTCAAGAGTGGAGAAGAACTGTGCGGGGCATTTCAAACAGCTATTGTGATAAGGAGGACAGGGCCCAGCCAAGTACTGCCTTGTTCCTGACCACACCAATAACTTGCTAAAACATACGTGCATATGACTGCACACTCACCTGCATGCACACACAATACTGACTCAGGTGGGAGCCCTCTCCTTCATTCCTGAGCAGCCACACTTCTGGGTTTACAGATGGGGCCCTGATGACACTTTAGCAATCCAATTAGCTCATCCTCATTGCCTTAAAGGTGGCCCATTCACCTCTCATGCCACTTTCATTCAAGGGACAATAAACAATGAGGATGCAGGTTGCCTGCCAATGCTGCAACCAACAGAATCTGTCCACAGACATGGGGAGGGATGTGGTCATGACTAGAGGCTGGTGCTCACAGCTTCCCTCCAGCCCATAGTGAAACAGCCTCCTCCTATGGCCCAGGAATTGGAACTGAGCCTGCAGAAGCTTCTGGGGAAAAGCACAACTGGCATACACTCTGCAGCAGGACACACAAAGGTAAGCGAATTGATGAGCCACACACGTGGACGTGATTCTGCACCTGTCTTCTATCAGCAGCCTAATAGGTCAGACTGATGATGACATCTGCGATAGCAAGTCAGCAGCACAAAACCAGAGCCAAAATGGATACTTGAGGACTCAGAAACAGTTCTGAGATCTTATGATCCTTTGTGAATAACTAAATGTATAGAAGTTCTAAAACCACCTCTGGGCAGAAGTGGGCAAGTTCTGGCCTGAGAGCCTTCTGAAAAGATGATGTCCTGTAGGGTAAGTGCTTTTCACGTTAATATACACACGAATCACCTGGGTATCTTGTTAAAACAGATTGACTCCACAGTCCTGGCTGGGGCCTGTGACACTGCATTTCTAACCAGCTCCCAGGTACCGCCAAGGCTGCTGGTCCTGGGACATGCTTTGAGCAGAGTAGACGAGAGCATCCAAAGTAACAGCAGCCCTTCAGTGACCTGAGGGTGGTCAGCCAGGAGGAGGCAAAACCCCACACCCGCCTGTGGTGCTGTATTATGCTACGGGCCCTTGGTCTTTGGGAGAATTGCCACATGGGCCCCATCAGCCCTTTAATCAAACTGGCATTTGCAAAGAGCAGGTTCTTGGATGCACTGGCTCCTTCCACACATGGAGAGGCACAGCCCCTTCTCGGCCACATGCAGGAGACAGTTCTTGGATTCCCTTGTGTCAAGGGAAGAGAGGAGGCTGTAAAATGCAAAGGAGAGATCCAGGATAACTAAGGACCTTCAGCAGTATGACCGCTCTTGTCATTGGCTCTTGGCCAGGTGCGGGGGATACAAAGAAGTGATGAGACAGGCTGACCTGGAGGAGCTCACAGCCTGGCAGGCGAGAGCAGCACTATAGAACTAACTCTAGTATAGTGTGAGAAATGTTCCTCCAGAGGGGCACCAAGGAGATCTACAGGATGCACAGCTATGCACCAGGGAGGGCTTGGAGAGAGAGCAATGTTGGAGGATTTTTCCAGATAGGGTAAGGCAGGAAGGATATTTTAGGCAGAAAAATGACGTTTGCTGAGGGCATGTATGTCCAGGGAACTGTGAGTTCTGGAACAGCTACATCAACTGAGGGGTCCAGGATGGGGACAGAGCAGAGGCCTCACTGTTGAAGGCTAGAAAGGGAGGAAGGGTCTAGTTGTGTTTGAAAAAAGGGGAGATTTGGGCCGGCCCATGGCTCACTCGGGAGAGCGTGGTGCTGATAACACCAAGGCCACGGGTTCGGATCCC